GGGGGGGGGGGGGAGGGGGTCGCAAAAACCTGTGTAAAAGCCCATCTGAACAAAGCCTATGGCCAACTGAGTTGATCTCAATAGTATGAAAAACTAGAATTTCTAAATCACACTCTCCATTATATAGATGAGCACTACAGCGGTGAAGCATAAAACATGAAATTGAATAATCGAAATATTAAAACAGCAAGCACAAGAAATCGAACTAAAAATCATCCGGATATAAACAGCAAAAAGTTTCATCGCCACTCGTATGCTGGGTCACCCTCTTGGCTAACCGGGTGCCAAAGACAGATACGGACATGTCCTCAAACCAAGCTATTCAGGGATCCAAGAAGAAAAAAAGGCAATGACATTACATAGGAGGAATTCTGTGTTCTTATTGTAATAGACACTATGATGTTCCGCCTTTGAGATCCTCTACTGGTGCATTTCACCTAAAACTGGGCTTAATTACACAAAGATGTCTCTACAATTTGAGCGTAATTTAGAGTGAAATGCATCAGAGGAGGAGATACCAAGTGGGGCTTCATGTTCATTGTTTGTTACAATAAAACTAGGCACGAGGGATTCTATGGTATGCCAGCTTTTATATCTTCTATCCTGCGGTAATGCTGCAGCGATAGCTGAAGATGTCAAGTTACTGAGAATACGCCAAAAGCTTCCCTTTACACCAGCGGAATACATGGGAAGGGCTTTACTTTTGCTGGAGCACGCCTAACACTTTAACCTACTTTCATTGCAGTGGGCGAGAATATAATACACATATTGTTGATGCTGTACATCCTCACAGGCTATGGCCCCAATTCGTCAAATGAGTGCGAAACCTTTGCTTAAGGCATGCTAAAATGACATACAATACCATTGGCGGAGACGTCAACTTAACATGTCATAAAGTGAACCGTCTTGACACTGCATAATGCCTATAAATGATACACTGATGAACAAGAAAGCATATAGTTACCTCTCCTGCTGCCCACAATGCCGAATGCTGCTCCAATACTAAGAAATCCTCATTAACCTCACTACAGAGCATAGCAGTGACATGAATGGAGGTCAGTGGGAGGAACCAGGAGATTGACACTCTAGGTACTTCCTAGTATTGGAGCAGTGTTTGGCGGCACAGACTGCAGGGGAGTTAATTATATACTTTCTTCATTACAAGCACATCATTTATAGGCATTTTTTACAGTCAACACATTGTTGCTTTACAAGTCATAATAGCTAATGCAGTTTGATCAATCAAGGCCTATGCATCATGCCTAACTCTGCTGCTACAGAACAAGGACTCTGCACAACTGCTCACACAAGGAGCCAATAGGCCTCAAAATAGCCAGAGGGAGGCATGGCAAAGCAATCTGTTACTGCGCCTTGTGCAGAAACAGAGTAGGGAAATATACCACTGAATTATGGAGCTGATTTTTTTCCCCTTGGCTCCCACCTGCTTAGCCGAGGTGTACAGGTTTTGTCCAAGACATGTATTTCGGGACACATGGTATAGAGTGCTCTCTTTACAACATGGAAAAAACATACAACGTAAATTAGGTGTGGACTAATGATTATGGATATCAGGAGCCAGTCTGACCACCTGGCTATCCTTAGGGCCATGACACTCTTACAATCCTGCTGCTGCTGGTAAGTCACCAGCGACAGATCACTCACCTGCTCCTATAGTGTTGCTCTCTTGCTGGACAAACTAGTGAAGTGTAGCTCCATTGCTGTGTCTTTGCTGGAGAGCGAGACTGCAGCATTTTGGCCAGCAATGGAGGAAAGTTGTAGGAATATGTGAGTGGTCTCTCTAGCACAGGGCTGGAAAAATCCCAGCAGCCAGGTAGCGAATGCTCCTTAAAAAGAAGTTTGACTTGAGTGCCAACTACTGAAGTCTACTGGGGCTGCTAATATGACATCCAAGATGGTGGCAGCCAGCAGCAGTCCCGGGGTTTTTGGATGTCTACACAAGTCAGGCTTTTACATGCCTAAAGGTGGCCATACACTTTACAACCATCGCAAGACCTTAGTCTTGCGATGGTTGTAAAGTAATTAAAAAAACGTACAATCTGCCCATCTTGGACAGGCAGATCGTACTTGCGATCATCGCAAGCCCGCCCAACTGAGGGGCGGACTTCCGATGACCGCAATGCTGAACGGGCAGTGTGCGCACACCGGCCCGTTCGGCATTTGTCTCCCGAGCATCATTCAAACCAGCCGAAAATCAGAAGATTTTTGGCTGGTTTTCTAGCATGCTCCTTAGACAAAAGACGTGCGACCGTACAGTAGAAACTGTTGCAAGTTCATTCACACTGCTCGATTCTCTTACGATCGCGGGATGGGCACCTTAACATACGTTAGATGCACATATAAATCTTATGGGAATATTTTTGTTGTAGTGAATGGTCTGATGATAGGTCCTATAAAAATTAAGTGCAAATACACCTGATGATGAAAAAAGCACTATGATTAAGCACTATAGTGGGAAACGTGTCAAGGTGTTCTATGATTTCTGCTGATGCTGGCTGTTAATTCCTAATAAACCTCCCGGTTCTTGGATCTTGCAGCCTGGATTCTTCCTTTACTGTATTCATGATATGTTTTTAGCCAAGCAAGGCGGTGATGTTGGCAGAACAGCGAGCGGTGGATGCTGGCCGGATCCCCTAGTGGCAGTAGACTTTGTTTCATACAACATGGGGCTTACCCTGTACACAAGAGCCACATATCTATACACATTTGAACAGCCTCATATGCAGACGGTACCGCCAGCACATCAAGTTGAAGGAACATCGAGTCACTCAAAGTTTGTACCTTGAATGTCAGTTTATTCCAAGCAAATAGTAAAAGGTGACAAGTTATAAAACTCGACCAATACATGGAACCTCAAAGCAAAAGGCATGGTGGAAGGCTAATTGGTTCGTCTAAATTGGCCAAGTATATGTATGCATGCATGCATGCATGCGCTATGTATCTTAGATCGTAAGCTCCTTGAGGGTAGGGACTGATGTGAATGTGCAGTATGTAAAGTGCTGCGTAAATTGGCGGCGCCATATAAATACAGTACCTGTAATAAAGAATTGAATTAAAAAACATGACACTGATGGTCTACAGGAGTAGCAGTCAACCTTTAAGATAGAGGGCCACAACTGTGGCCCCTGGCAGCACAAAAAATTAATTATATGACCGAAGACTGTCAGAGACTTCAAACCTATTAAGGAAGACATTCAGACTATGGACATGCAAAAGGCGTGATTGGAGACTGAAGACACACTGCAGACCAGAGCCTGGGACATACTACATAAGACTGCTAGAGATCACCGACATTACAGTTTCTTTTCCAATGGATGCCTCCACTATTGACTGCTGGGGTCTGTAAAGGACGCACAGCAAGTGCCAAAGGGCCGCAGGTTGGGCATCAGGGGCCTACAGCCGCTATCAGATGGAGGACAGTGAGAAGACAGCATGGCTGGTATAAGGACAGTTGGGTTTCAGGCACCTGTACAGTGAGCAGCTGAGGACATTCACGAGGACTAGCCGTTCAATCACCACCGTTACACAATGCCGGGTCCGTGGGGAAGCTGCTAGCCAAGCACACTTTCCTAAATTGCGAGACTGCTGACAATCATTCAAATGCCAGGTGCTTATTTTTAGTGGCAGCTGTTCCCGGTGCTCTCCAGCTGTCCACGCTATGCATGTTTGAGCAGCTATATGCCAAGAGGGAAAAATAAAAACCAACAAAAAAAACAACAACGCCTGTATTGCTAAGCAGTGCCACAGGGAGGCATGTTAAAATTGGTTTTAACCCATTGTTTGCACTAGGTAAAAGAATAAAAAGGTAACTTTGGCCTCTTGTCTTAACCCATTTATGACCAGGACATTTTCTTTAAGCACTGAATCACTTTAAAAGAAAAAACTTTCACGAACGGAATACAGGGAGCTATTGCTGACCTGCTTCCAAAATTGCTATCTGCTTGGCTGTCCTTGGCATTCCTTGACTGATGAAGGGAACACTGATCCGGAACAATATGCATATACAGAGTTCACATTGTACTGGCTGCAAACTTGATTTACTAGAGCAGGGATAGGCAAACTTCATCCCTCCAGCTGCAGTAAAACTACAAGACCCATGAGGCATTGCAAGGCTCCGACAGCCACAGACATGACTTCCACAAAAAAAAATACATTTGTATTTGGTTAGGTTTAAAGAGATTAAAAAAAAAAAGGTTAGAAGACAGCTGTATGAAAAAGACACACACACTATATGTAGGCTGCCAATGCTGACCTCCTAAAAAGCAACTTATCTTGCCATCATTGGCTTTAAAATCTTCCAAATCACTGACCTGGAAGAATCATGCACCAACTGAAGACAGAACATCAGCTAAGAGTACTCGCTGTGGGTCAAGGCCCAAGAAGTACTGACGCCATTCCAGCAGGTCGCTCAACTAGGCTTTTCATAAACGGAGAGGTAATCAGTAGCAGCCTCCATTTTTTTCATGGTGCAGGTTTACTTTAGGGGTTCATGTACACCTTCATGGCTTGGAGTGTTTTTGTCTCATGTATTTTTAATTTCCAATAAAGGAAATGCGTTAAACACATATGACAAAACCTTTTGCCATGGGTTTTATTATGCAACACACACCATACCAGAAGTCAGTGCATGTTGGCATGTGTTTAGACGCGTTTTCAGTTATTTCAATGGGAAATGCATCAGAAAAAATAAAATACAAAAGGCGTGACTCCAGCCTAACGGAGGGATATTTCTAATTTTAGCTCAGCTGTAGTTTTTCCTCGGGAAGCATCATCACTTCACGGATTGATTTTATTTTTGCGTCGCAGTTGTTCTTTTAAGCAGTCAGGTCAACCTAAACTAATATTTAATATTTTTGGTAGATAATGAATAGTTAAAGTAGTATTAAACCACCATTGCACAAATCATTTCTCCTTTACCTATATGTCACTTATTAATCATTGCAAGGCTGGGCATACACCTTACAACCATCGCAAGATTTTGTGTTGCGATGGTTGTAAGGTACTTAAAAAAGCGTACGATCTGCCTATCTTGTATAGGCAGATCGTACTTGCGATGATCGCAAGCCACGCCCCCTGTGGGGTGGGCTTCCGATGACCGCAATGCCGAACGGGTAGTGTGTGCTTGCGCACACCGGCCCGTCCGGCTTTTATCTTACAAACATGCTACACACCCGCCGAACATCGTACGATGCTCGGCGGGTTTTGAAACATGTTCGTAAGTTTAAAGTCGTGCGACCTTACAGTAGTAGAGGTCGCACGGCTTCCACACACCTTACGATAATCGTACGATCGCGGGATTTCCCGCGATTATCGTAAGGTGTGTGGGGACCTTAAGGTTACTCTGAAGAATTTACCCTCAAAGGCTTACTATTCCCTTTTTCAAGTTCTGGACGCTCAGTCCCTCTCCATGTTTCTTTCCATGAATGTCTGGTGAAGAAGCATGCACTCTTCACATTATTGATCAGTCAGGTGTATAGTGCTGGCTGAGGAGATTACTTGGAATGGAGCTACTGTCAATAATAGCCCGTGAAGGAAAATGAGGAGAGTGGCCTTTGATACTGCCCATACATCAAGCTGAAGGATGGGAGCGCACACATTAGGACTTGACACTGGGGTGCCAAAGAGACCCTATAAGCCAACATGGCCACCCTATAGCTAATAATGTACTGGACGCATCTTTGAATTACTAATTTTGTTGTAAAGACTGCAAAAATGTAAACTTAAGCGGTTACATATAACTTTTCTTCACAAGGGTTTAGAAAACATTTTAAATCATCTCATTGTTTCTGTTAAAGTAGGCCACACACACGTTACAATCTAGCTGTACAATCTCCTTTAGATTTACCAACATCCATGTAGTGCAAGGGGCCCACCAGAAAAATCCATTCAATTCAAATCCAATTCAGGGAGACCCTAACACTACATTTTTGAGAATTCTAAAAGAAGATTGTACAATCAGATTGTAAAGTGTGTTCATACTTTAGTGGTGACATCTGCAGAATTCCAAACTAATTGTAATCGCAAGACTGAACATCAATAACATCTTTTGAGGATGAAGCTATGGTGTGCGGTCAGCTTCTTGAACGCAGTGTCCTCTTCAGGTTACCACAGCACCCGACAAGAAGATGAGGGGACTTACCGGCTAGTTGTGCGGTGAGTTACTTCTAAAATCTCAAGAATTCCGACACCTGCCAAGATCATTAAATTGGGGTCGACAGTCACTGTTAGATTTTTTAACATTTATATTATGGAGATGGCACACCCAAAAAGTCAAGGTGTGCTGGAAGATGGCCAGGAACTAAGGCTGGAAGATCTCATTGCTAGAGTACGCAAGAGAATTCAGAAACCAGCAGGTGACTAAACTCACTATAACTGGATTGTCAAAAAACAGACTATTAATCTTCTGAAAACTGATGAGAAGCCATTTGGGTCCCACACCAACCAGGGGGCATTTAGGGTCAACTTAATAATTACATTTTTTTAAAACCCACACCCTTAGACTCCGTTATGACTTGGTTACATTAACAGTATTGTCAGTCCTGCCCAGCTGCTGGGGAGCTGAGGACCTGACAACCTACATCCACTTACAGGCCATTGTTAGACTTCTCGTCTGTGAAGCTGAAGGGTAGGAAGGTTCCGGCACTCAGGAGACCATGGTCATGAACACTCCCACCCTCCGATACCATCTGCCAGCTGCCATAGTCTGTGGAGACGGACGATCCGGGCAGGGAATGGTCCGCTGATCTACGGCGAAGAGAGAGAGAAGGAAGACCGTGCAATGAGTGTCTTCTATGGCTTAAAACAAAAAAAAATTAATAAAGACGTTCTCTTTCATGCCTCTCAAAGAGCCAGATGTTGAAAATTCCTCTATTAGAGAACGACAGATCGTGCTGCTCATCAGGGAGAGCCGGAGAGGAGCGGCCAGCCATTGACCTCTCCCAGATGTGGGCAATCATTGCCAAGCCAAGAAGCATGCAAAACTCCGGACACCCACAGAAAGAGAATGCAATTGGTTAATTTTCTTATTGTTAAAAGAGACCCAGAGCAGAGGCTGCAAGGAAGTCGGAGAAAGCTGTAAGTATTTAGTGGCAGGAGATTTGTGTTGGGGAAAGACTTGGAAAAATTGCTATGTGTGCTGAAGAAAAGCTGCATGCTATTACTAAACCAAAAGTTAAAGGATTTCAAAATAGCAGGCATGACTTCAGCTGATGTTAGCCTGTTAGTGATTAGTAATATTGGTTCTACCACCTGATTTGGGTGTTTCATAATCCAGTTACCACTTGTCAAAGCAGTGTTATTGTGAGAAGAGCAGGCCAAGAAGTATGGAAAAGGAGAGGAATGGAGTAGAGAAAGAAACAATCAAAAAAACAGATGAGGAAAAGGAAAAGCAGCAAGAAGAAGTCTGACAAAAAAGGGAAGGGGAAACAAAAGGGGAGGATGCATAAAAGAAAAAGAAGGGGGGGAGAGTGAGAGGAAAAAAAAAAGAAGGAAGCAGGGAAGAGAGCAATGAAGAAGAAGTCTATAAGAAAAAGGTAAGGGAGAGACGAAAGAGGGGAATAAAAGGGAAACGGGTGCACAGAAAGAAGCCGAAGGGAGATTGGAAGGAATGGTTAGAGAAAGGAAAAGGAAGTAGGGAATGGAAAGAGGAAATGGGGGAAGAACCGATAGAAGGGAAAAGTAAGGCAGGAGAGAAAGGATATCCTTATGTAAGTATGACAGCTTACCTATTAACATGCAAAACACAATATCCAAGAATCAAGCACGTAAACTCTTAGTGGCTGAACTCTTAATTGGCTGCTGTGGATTACTGCTCTTCACTATTGTTTTTTCCCTCTACATAGGGCAGGTTTGTTCTTTATATAAAAAAAAACAAAAAAAACGATCCTTACTTTTTATGAAACTAGCACGAAATATGAACTATTTAGCTTGGTGACAGCTGACTGCAGCGTAATCAGTTTGTCCCCATAGACCGAGTTTATTCCATCATGGTGCGATTCCCAGAAAGATGGAGTGTATATAAAAAAGCAGAGCGAGAAGATTTAAGAGGGTACCATTAGGTTTACAAGCTTGGAGAAGGGAAAACTAAAAGATGAGCTTTAAATTATTTTAGGGGTTAGGGTAAGGTATGGAAAAATTTTTAGCCTACGACAGGGGCACATGCGCCTTGTTGTTACAGAACTGGGATGGTCATGTAATGCGACTAAGGTGTGTGTGCTTCAACCCAGAAAAGGGCGCGCACATGTGCTATCTTATCCAAGGGGGAAGGAGGGACTACATGAAGTGGGTGGGCGAGCCTGCGACGGGGGCACACATGCACAGTGCTATCGGTGGGATAAGGGACAAAGCGCTGCTGACATGAACAGTCAAGTGACTTCTACAGTGCACGATCTCCATCCTCCCAAAGGGACGTTGAAGGAGCGACCGTACATTCATAGGAAGAAGTGACTGCCAAACAAGAGAATGGGGACATAGTCTAAAAAATAATGGATGCTGCAGTGTCTGTGAAGAGTGAATACTTTTAGATAAAAACGAGGAGGGTTTAATGCTACTTGAACTGCTCATGTAGGGGAAGGGTTGTCAGGGGACTTCAAGTGTTAAGGAAAACCTTTGAAACATGCTTGAAATTTAAAGTGTATTCAAAACCAAAAAGTCATATATTGCAGCTTACCAGCTCTCACGTGTGGTAAAAATGTGTTTTCTTTAAGGCTTTTAAAATAATTTTCATCTAGTGATCCTGAGCAGTGTGGTAATCCTAGTCTGCTTGCTTCTGATTTGGACTACAGAACACCTTCCCTTCTCCATTAAGCTGGCCATACACCTACAGATTATCTGCAGATTTTCTATGATCAGATGGAAAAAGTGCGACAGATTCCTCCATCTATGCTAAACTGTGTGGATGGAGGAATCTCCCCCTGGGCCAAGCTTCAGTATCTGGCTGGTCGGCCCCGCTGGCTGTCACAATACCTGAACAATCTGATAGGATACCGGCATTGTTCAGGTATTTTGAGAGCCAGCGGGGCCGTCTAGCAAGATACGGAAGCTTGGCCCAGTGGGAGATTCCTCCATCCACACAGTTTAGCGTACGATTGAGGAATCTGTTACACTTTTTCCCAGTGGATCATAGAAAATCTTCAAATCTATAGGTGTACGGCCAGCATTACATAGCTGAGATGTTCTTCAGCCCACAGAAAAGGACTAGGCAGGGCCAATAACTCTGCTTGAGATTTCATGCAGCAGAGGCAGAATCTACAGGAAGTTACAAGCTCACTGGATTTCTGGCAGGGTCAACAGGTATTATTTTCACTTATTGAAGAGGTATAACAAAAAACGTTTAATTGTAGATTTAACAGACCAAAATTTAGCCCACATTAGTGAGCTAGTATGACAAGAACCAAGCTGGAATCTAAATAAGAATATTTAACATGCCTGGAGTTTCCCATTTTACTACGTTCTGTGCCCACATAATTAGTCCTGCTACCCACACATTATTTGATGTGATCTAGATAAAAACAGACAATGAAACAGGGCCAGCATTAAGCTGCATGATAGTCTGGGAATAGGAACTGTGTATCGGCATATCCAGCTTCAGAAAACACTGCACCTGCTGTTCTCATGACACATGCCAATTCCCTTCTTCCTTTAGGCTGGAGCCGCTGTACCGCAGCTGGAGAGTGCAGTTCAGTGCTGGGTTATGGACGCAGTGACCCGCTCTAAACACTGCTGGGTTATGGAGGCAGTGACCCGTTCTAAACACTCAGGAGAGGAAGAATTGGTTCAACTGCTTTAAACACTGGTGGCAGAAGACCGTTTTTAAAGGAATCCTGTGCTAAGAGAAACCAGTCTGTGTTTGCTGCTGATCTTCTGAAAATGCCATTTGTCTGACTGCAACATAGATCCTGTATCGTCAATGCTTATGGAGTTGCCGACTTGGAACAACATGCAGATCTGAGTGGTAAAGTCCGAACTCCTGATCTGGATGCTTGTTCCAGGTCAGTGAATCAAAATGCTGAAGCAAATGATTTAGCAAGAAAGCATTTTCAGAAGGAAAAAATCGGCAGTGGCAGACTCCATACCTTGGAAATAAAAGGTTTCTTTTAAAAGGGAACCAATCACTTTGCCTACCCATCTCCCTGCCCACAGATACTTAACTGTGCTATGTTCCCCTGACTTCCTGGTGATTGACCACTTAGGTGCTGAGCACTGCATCCTGGGAGCAAAGGGAGAAGGTCACATGCTCCCTTATATTTGAAAGTAACGGTATTTTTGACACTTGCGTCAGATTAACAGAACAGCTGATGTGGGGCCCTCGTAAAGGTGAGCATCAGTAGGTGACCAGGCTATTAAAAGAAGAAGTCGTCCCTTTTTCCTGAATGAGCCATCTCTTTTTGAGATTCTCCCCTCTGCAGAGTGATTCTGGCCCATTCCACAAAGTAAGATCTTTGTGAATACAAAAGGCCTCCATGTGTCCAGAATAGGGCCGCTGGAATCTCCCTAGTGAGAGCCAAAAACAGTGCAGATCACATCAATCTCAAAAGAGAATCTGTGCAGCTTGGGTCTTAACAAAAAAATAAAAAAAATCATATAAAAAGAATACAAAGAAGTTTAAAAAAAGGTATTATAAAAAGCTGTATATCTTAAAAAGTGTACAACCCTCACACTGTGCCCTCCAGCCTACTCACATATTTACTTTGCCTGGAGAAAAGGCCGCTTTAGGAGCCAGACGTAGCCAGTCACATTACCAAATTCCTCAGCGTTTGGAAGGCAGCTCAAGGACTTGCTGGGTAGAGAGTTGCTGAGATGCCGTAAGCGCAGACTCACCCTGTGACCCAAACTTTTTTTTTTTTTTTTACTCGCAAACTCACTGGCCACGAGCGAGGAGTGTCCTAACCTAGCAAACCACCCTGGGAAAATCACTACCTGGATCATAGAGCGAAGGACTGGTGAAATCTTCTGACAGCAAAAATAAAACCATCCGTACATTCTCAATTGGGTTGCCAGTAAAGAACGAACCTGCATACTAACAGCTGGATACAAAGTATGTTAGGTGACTTGACAGGTGGTTACTAGAACAAAACATCATGGATACATTCTATACTTCTGGCCAGTGCAGCAGTCTCGACTTTGGAGTTTTCCAATGAATGAAGTAGGCATGCAAACACATTACCAAAGCATGCTTTTCATTCTCTCCCACTTTTCTCGGTGCTCCCCTTTTTTCTGAAATAAATCGGGGCGTGGCACCTTGAACCCGGGATTTGAGCACCATTGTTATTTTTTGTAGTAGAAGTGTTTAGAAAAAAATAGCTAGATTGCATTTGAAACCAAAGAGTCAAAAAAAGCAGAAGTGTATATAGTGCGATTCTCTAGAAACTATAGATGCCCAATTCTTGCAAAGATATGCCATTATCATAGGCAAGTTTTATAAACACCACGCGGTCATGCCAAGAAAACCATCCAGGAGTAAGAACACACACGCACATCCTCCTATGAAAAAGAGCAGTTGATGCCTATATGTCAACCAATCACTTCTTCATAAAACAGAACATTTAATTGGCCGATTCACATTCTGAAAGTTGGCCATAAGCGCCTTTTTTTACTCTGTTGGCTTCCAAATAGTTCAGGCTCATGCGAAGACAGACTTGAAGCAGAACCACAGTCAAACAGCAGTTTGAAATACATATGTGTGAACCATTTCACCTACTACATTTTTGCAATTCTGTTCACCTAGTTATGAGATCCACATACCTCTGGAACATTGCATCAGCGGTGGGGCGACACCACTATTTAATGTCCCCTACCTGCTTACTGGGCAAGGGACTTCCTGTGCTCTCTTCCTCTTGTAAGCTTTCTAAACATCTCCACTCCAGCTCCCAGTACTGGAAAACATGTTGTACTGACAGGACTGGGCAGAGACTGACTGGCTGACTGGAGGCCTGGGCAGAGACTGACTGGCATAGCCTAATCTGAATAAGTCAGAGCAATGATTCCTTCCCCCAAGCCCACCGAACCAGAGCACAGACTCCTGTTCCTGAGCCCACCGAGCCAGAGCAGAGACCCCTTTCCCTGAGCTGAATTAGTTTGATCTATCACTACTCCCCAGGCCTCCTGCTGTGTTCAGAGGGCTCCCTACAAATTCTGTAATAAAAAGGAGTGTCTGAAGGCAAACATTCAGTGCAGTCTTTATAAACCCAAATTGCTCAGCGACACTAGTGTTGTGGGTGCACCCTGGCATGTTTATTTATAAACCAAGTATCCTAGATACTTGGTTTTGAAAAGGGTTGAAAAATGGTTTATAGATTTTTAAAAAGGCATAAAAAAAAAAAAAAAAAAAAGAAGGGGGAAGATAAAAACAGACCCAGAACCATTATTATAGTCTCCCTTTAAGAAGCACAGGCTGGAACAAGGGGGAGGTAGAAAGCTTGTAGCAAAAAAAAAAAAAATCAGAAGATCGAAGTTAAGAAATACAATAAAACTCAAAACGTACGGAGGAAAGGCTCGGCATGTGTCCCAGTTGCGCTGTGGCACTTCCAGTGGGCTGCTCCCAGCTCTCATGAATATGTCTGAGTGGTTAGAGGAGGAGGAGCTGGACGACTTGGCTTCAGCTCCTAGTGGGTAGAGCATATGCTCCTCTGCAGTCCTGTTCCACAACACTGTGTGCGGTGAGGAGGGGTGCGTCTTCTTCCTGCCGTGAAAGAGAAGAAAACAAAAGTTAAAGCAGAACTCCAGGCAAATGTATTCAGAGGGTAGCAGCTACATTCATGAGCTTAAGTATGCGGCATTAAAATGAGATTTGCTGCATTTTTTTATGCAGCTTATAGCAATGAATCTTCCAAAGGGTTAAAGAAGATGGCCAGTAAAATGCATTCGAAAAGTGAAAAATATACTGTAAATATGTGCCAAATTAAATGTATTTTTCAGTTAACTTTTTGCAAACCAAGAATAGAGGCCAATATGGCCGACCTCTCAGCTGAACTCTATTTTATTTTAGTTATGTTCTGATCGGTTAAAGGATATCTGTTGCTACATCTCCTCTATACAATATTGCCTTTATGTAGGAATACAGTGTAATCTCACCAGACTGCATGGCTCTGTGCTCCAAAGGTCATGAGGTCTACAGCTTCATAGTTTGAATTTCCAAAGGCACTGGAGGAGTCCTCAGTAATAACAGAAAAGTCACTGCTCAGACTGGTGTTACTGCCACGATCCCGGGGTTCTGGAGAAGGAGGTATAAAACAGGTTCCAGTTGAACACAGAAAATCATCAAGCTTTTTGTTTTAGAATGCAGAGGACCCCTTGAAATGGGATCCTAAAAACCTGATGTTTAGACTTAAGAGCAGTTCAATGTTAGGGTTTACATACACTTTTATTAAAAGGAGAACTATGAGGTGAGTGAAAATCACTCCTCCTCATAGTTCGAGTCGACGTGTGACAAGAAACGGTCACACGTCAGCTCAATAGATCGGCAAGTGAGCAGAAACATACTGTCGCTTGCTCGCTTCTCGATCATGTCCCTGCAGAGAGTGGTGACTGTCAGTCACCGCTCCCCACAGAGATTCCCCCCCTCCTCGCTCAAATCCTCCATCGCTGACTGAAGTAATGGACGGTGGAAGGGGCGGGTACAGCTGGCTCTGCCTCTAGATAGGCACAGCCAGCTGTCATTCACGCAGCTGGGTGGATCTTGACAGCATTGTCGAGATCCATCCCGGCTGCGGCAGTCTCAGTATACCGCGAGCTATAGATCGCGATATACTGAGCTTTGGGTCACGGCAGGACGCTAGTATATGTCTTCCAGTGACCCTCAAGAGAACTATGGGGAAAAACACTTACCACATAGTTCTCTTTTAAGTCCCTTTTGGTCCATTAAATATGCCATCAATACCATTTTGTTATATCTCCAGGGTAAGTTAACAAAACATACCTGTTGATCCTGTCAGAAATCTAATGAGCTGATAACTGAAATAAGAGATGTATGTAAAAAACACAACAATGAAAACCCCTTACTGGAATTACTTCGATAATAAATTTGTATGTACAAAAAAACAATGCTCTAAGTTGTTTACAATTTCACACCAACAGTTCAAATGCTAAAAAAAACTAAAATTAATAAAATTAAAATATAGAAGAGTTTGCGTCATGTAGTCGGAGAATGCCGAGTCCTGTTGTGACCATTTTTTTTTACAGTTTCATATAATTGTTATACTTTTCAAATGTCTCTACCCTTGATGGCATCCTAATATCAATGTTAGACTGCTCCTATTTGGTTTGCTTTCCTGCGTTGTATTGTACAGAATAGAAATAAAGAACTAAAAAATAGCATAGTTTAGGAATACGGCATTTCAATCAAAAGCACATACTTAATGCACAGAAGTCTTCCATCAATAAACCTGGATCCCGAGGCTGTGAGCTTTTCCGCCTGCAACAAAAGAAAGTTTTGCCTTCATATAAAAACTCACCCCGGAATTTAGATTTGCATGGGGCGAAAGGTGGTGTACATGTAGTTGCATTTTAAAGGAGGAACAATCCAATGAATGGGGAAAATGAAAGTACTTCCAAATGTTTTACATATTTTAGTAAGTGTTTTAATTTTATCCTATTTTTAATATTTACTAAAATCGTGATAACTAGGGATGCACCGATATTTTGGTATCGAGTAACGAAATTTTTTTCCCCGTACTCGCCGATACCGAATACCGGTAGTCCCATTAAGGAAGCCAGGCGGCGTGTAATGACTCGCCACCTGGCTTCGTGATTAGCAGTGAAGCCATCCCCATGCTTCTCGTCACTAGGTGCAAGGATCGGTGCCAATGCCAAGTATGTGGGCGAGTACTCGTACTCGTCCAAATGCTCCGATGCCTAGCCCAATACTTCCGGTATCAGGAAGCCGGGCAGCGAGTCATTACACGCTGCCCGACTTCCCGATTGGCCGGGAAGCCGGCTCCATGCTCACTCGTCATGAGGTGAAAAAAAAAAACAACTTATCTTATCTTTCCACTTCAATACAATGTTAAACAATATTAAAGTCATACAGGGTTATTCACTAAAGGGTGAAGAGTTTGGAGAAGGCCAGAGAAGTGAACCATCTAGGGCAATATAGCCGAACTGGAAAGTGAGCTGAAATGGAGAATTTTTCCAAATCAGCGCCCCCTCTTCTCTTCACATTGCAATTTATTATGAACATTTTAAAGCTAGACTATATATACTAGAAATAAAGGCAAGAAAAAAAATAACAATAATAATAAATAACACATATATATATATATATATACACATACACATACATATACACACACACATTTGCTGC